TGGCTAGTAGAATCATTACCGTCAGGCTTTTTGCTGCAAACACTGTCTTTTCAGAGAAAATGCAGTCTTTACATTACAGCCTAGTGATAATTTCACTGGCCACTCCTCAGATGGCTGTTAGAGATCCTTCCTGGGTCATGGCTGCCTAAAATGCATCCAAACATTCAGTGTCTCCTCCCTCTGCATGCAGACACTGAACTTTCCTCATAGAGATTCATTGATTCAATTCATCTCTATGAGGAGATGCTGATTGGCCAGGGCTGTGTTTGAATCATGCTGGCTCTGCCCATGATCTGCCTCTTTGTCAGTCTCAGCCAATCCTATGGGGAAGCACTGTGATTGGATTAGGCCACCACTTCTAATGATGTCAGCAGACTGCTTGTTTTCCTGAGTATAACAGCATGCAGAGTTACAGCTCCAGGCTTGAATACAGTAAGATTTTGCTATATTTATGGAGGTATGAGGGGCCCAGGGGGGGCTAGATGGTGGTGTTAACACTATGGGTTCATGAATTCATGTTTGTGTTCCAGACCCTATAGTGATCCTTTAAGGTAATGCTGACTTTGGTCTCTCTAACACTGTGGCATGTTCCTTTTCTTCTATACTCACTACATACAGCTTTTCTCTGTCCCAGACCATATACCAGGAGCTTCTGCCTGCTAGTAAGAAGGTAAGGAGACAAGTGGACCAGCAAGTGCTAGGGGACAGTCCTTAGAAAGAGTTGAGCGAGCGCATCATTAGATGCATTTATGCCAAGCTCAGGGTGCTGTCTGCATAGTATGCCCTTAGTTGGCCAGCTGCATGATTGGCAGGCAGCCTGGCATGCATTCATACCAGGCTGGCCTTCTAATTCTTTGGGCAGACATATCATCTTTTTGGGCATGTTCTCCCCTTTTGGCAGGTTACGTGATTTGTGTCAGTGGCACACCCTTTTACCGTGCCCATTGTCTTCCTGCTTGATTGGACACTGCTGTTAGGGGTTATGGATTTACTTGAAAGATGAAAACATAAATTAGTGAGAGATTAGCCTAGGGTATGTGTTTTCTTATAGCTGCTTTTTCTTTCTCTCCAGCACCATCTCCATCAGATACATGACGCTTGGGAGTGTTTTACTGTTTTTGGTCGATATGATTCTGTAATTAGGCCCGTCATAATTGTCAGCACCAGGCCCACTGGGCTCTTAATCTGGCCCTGGATAATGGGGAGCGATCTTGTGTCCCTTAAGAAGGGAAACCAAGCCCCTCCCACAACTACAGACCCAGCCTTACATTTGTGGTTGGGACAAAAGCCGTAATGAGAGCATATTAGAAATAGATATCTAAGGTCCCTATATGAGACCTATCGTACTATGAAGAAGTTGGTTGTGGTGTGCCGGAACCGACGATGCGGTGGGCCTGTAATAAAAATATTATACCATACAGAATTATACATCCTTCAAATCAGGGATATTACAATATATTACATATACATGTTATGGAAGACTTGGCGTATTTATGTATATATCTGGAGTAAGCTGAGGCCTCCATAGTCTCAATGTCCATTAATATGTACCGAATGTTCCTGGAGGTATGGTTGTCAGCACTGATGTGGAAGGAGTTACCTGCTTAATTAGCTGAATTAAGACCTTATCTGACCATGCAGTAAAATGCTGAGATAAAGTCTGAAATTACTTGTCCTTAGAGTATTGTCGTGTAAGCAGGGCTGCCATCAGAAATTGTGGGGCCCCTAACATAGCTCAAGGTCTGGGCCCCCGGGTGCCCGCCTCCAAGCCCTGCCCCCAAATCCCGCCCACAGGAATACACACACAGACACAAAAGGACACAGACACAAACACAGGAAGATACACACATACTAACAGACACAAATACTGATACAGACATACACACATATAGACACATACACAGATACACACACATACTGACATACAGACACACACACTGACATACATACATACTCACATACTGACACACACACATACATATAGACATACATACATACTGGCAAACTGACATACATACACATAAATACATACTGACATACATAATGGAATACATACACATACATACTGTTATACATACACACACACACACACACACGCACACACACACACACACAGATACATACAGACAAACTGACATACACACACACAGACATACATGCATACTGCCATACATACTGATAGATATATACATACACACATAAATACTGACATACACACACACACAGACATACATACATACATACATACAGACATATATACATACTGACATACACACATACAGATAGATAGACACATACATACACACATACAGACATACTGACACACACACAGACATACATGCATACAGACATACATACTGACACACACACACAGACATACATACTGACATACACACACAGACATACATACTGACATACACACACACACAGACATACATACATACTTGCAGACACATACACAGACATACATACATACTAACAAACAGACATATATACATACTGACACACACACAGACATATATAAATACTGACATACACACAGACAGATAGACACATACATACACACATACATACAGACATTCACACATACATACAGACATACATGCATACTGACATACATACACACATACTTACTGACACACACACAGACATATATACATACTGACATCCATACTGACACACACACAGACATATATACATACTGACATACATACAGACAGACATACATACTGACACACACACCAACATACAGGGCCGCCATCAGGGGGTGACAACCATGACAGTTGTCATTGGCCTGGCAGCCCAGGGGGGCCCGGCCGTCCGGGCCCCACGTGTAGCGGCGGAACTGCTGCCGGTGCAGTTGCACCGGGGCCCACGTACTTAGGACCACCCGATGGGCCCTATATCTTCAGGGGCCCGGTCAGCGCTGCGGCAGTGCAATAGCGCGATGGGGCCCCTTTAAAAAAAAAAAAAAAAAAAAGCCGCAGCAAGTGCTGCTGGGAGGAAGTGGTCACTTCCTCCCAGCTCACTCCGCGCGGGAGGAGAGACAGCCCTGCAGTGAAGAGGGAGAGCCAGCCGACTCCCATCAGCCCCAGCCAGGAAGCATAGGAACTGAGAAGTGGTCTGTGGTTACCACCTGCAGAACCACTCCTTTATTGGGGGTGTCTTGCTAATTGCCTATAATTTCCAGAAAAGGTAAGAAACAGGAGGGTGGCTGAAAAATTAGATGTATGTATGTATGTGTCTGTATGTATGTATGTCTGTCTGTATGTATGTCTGTAGATGTATGTATGTATGTATGTATGTCTGTGTGTGTATTCCTGTGGGCGGGATTTGGAGGCGGTCCCTGTGGGCGGCCCTGCCGACATACATACATACTGACATACACACAGACATACATACAGACATATATACATACTGACATACACACACATACAGACACAAAAACACATACATACAGACATACACGCATAGTGACATACATACAGACATATATACATACACACACACACAGACATACACACACATGCATACTGACATACATACACACATACATATTGACACACACAGACATATATACATACTGACATACACACAGACATACATACAGACATATATACATTCTGACATACACACACATACAGATAGACACATACATACATACATACTTGCAGACACATACATATACACACACACTTCATTTAACAGCCACCCTCCTCTTACCTTTAGTTGCAGGAGGGTGGCTGGGGATGATGGGAGTGGATGCCTCTGGTGTCCTCAGCTCTCCCTCTGCTCACCCTTCCTCTGGAAAAACTGAAAACCACGTCTTATATACATTGTGAATATACCATGTTTACGCAAATCTAATGTGCATTAGATTTGATGGTGCCTGACTTTAGGGGCACAATTTGAAATTTTCCAGTGAATTGCATTCACACAGGCGAATTTCATTCAGGGGGAGGAACTTAATGCGCATGCGCGGCAAGTTTTAGATGACTCTGGAAGTCCTCATGCAGTATCAGACGACCTAAAGTCACATATGCCGGGGGGCTGGTAGATCGCCACTAGAGGTAAAGTTAACCCTGCAATGTAATTATTGCAGTTTAGCAATAACTGCAATAATTACAACTGCAGGGTTAAGGGGACCGGGACACTGGACCAAGACCACTTCAATGAGCTGAATTGATCTGGGTGCCTATAGTGTTATGGACATGAAAAATTTAACATAATGTTTGTGCTTTTAAATCCATAACTCCTAAAGTTATTAGTTCACCATTTAACAGATACTACATGCATTAATGCACTGAAACACTGAAAAGGTTAATTAAAACCAGTTCAGAGTCAAGAGGCAGGTTGATGGGTCAGAAATAGGCTGGAAGGAGGGACATGTTACTATGGTTATTGTGAAGCTGTTTTGTGGAAGTTTTAACAGTTGGTTTTTAGAGTTCGTTGGGGATAGCAGCGATGTAGTAGTACAGCGGCACAGGAAGCTGTAATAAACTATTGCTAAAAGACTATCATCCCTCTCATTCCCTTCTTGGTACACACTCTTCCATGAATTGTCCTACCAGCCAACCCTTTGTTTAAGCCCTTCTCAGCCTTTTGAGCCAGCCGGAGTGTCTTACTCGGCCAGCGGGAGATATGGACAATCTCTCTTGAACTCCAGCTCAGCTATGGACCGGTCAGTTTGAGACCTTGATTCCCAAAGAGCTAGGAAGGCACTCTTTGGAGATTCTGTTATTCCCCTCCACCTGAACAATTGCTCCCTGTGAGAAGACAGACGCTCCCCTTTTTCAGCCCACTAGAGCCCCTGGTAACAGACCGCGAAATGGCCCCGGCCGGTCTAACGTTTAACTGAATGACGTTTGGACAATTCCACATGGATCAGAGCGCTGTTTTCACAGCTATATATACAGGGGATATATGACTTCTGGGGGTACACTGTTGTTTTCTGGTTGTTTTCAGCGTATTTTGTGTGGCATCTTCTGTATCTGGGATATCATTAGTTTATCAATTAGGTTATCAACTCAATTATCTCCCAGACACAGAGACAACTGGGTGGGCTTAAGACTGAATGAATATACCCCTCCATACCTGTACCGTCTGCATGAATAAACCAGTTGATTTTCCCTCATCATGTTTTTGGCTGATGCTTGGGGATACAAGAGCTATATCACACTTTGACTCTGCGTGACTAGGGAGACTCTTCAGCGGATATACTTAGCCGGAGTATAGAGGATCCATTACAACAGCCTTACTAATTTTCTAAGGCTGCAAGTATTCACTTTAGGCCCATATATTTTATCCTGGGACATAGCATTTGATCTATCCAGAGCAGCAGAAACCTTTGTCTCCATTCTATCTAAGATCCTGGGACGTTAATTATAATGTAGTATTTTTTTTTTTTTTTAGCTTTTATACTTGTGTTTAAATTCAATTGCTTGTATAGCCTTTCAAAATGTTTTAACTGTAATTGTGCGAAATATATGATTAGTGATGCAAAGGATAATTGTCTAGTTAGCATTACAAGTGTTTAGCTAGAACATGTTTATTAATATTTGTTATATATTCTTTAACATATTTTTATTAAACATTATCATTTGCTGCACTCTGAGTAATTGTCATTTAGTCGTTACATGTTAGGAAATAACTCTGCCGAAATACCTCATGCAGCTAATATCAAAATAAAAGGTTTTGTTTTGAATGCTTGCAAATATATGTGGGCTTCCATTAACTCTATTGTTAGTGTAACTAGATTACACCAGGACACATGACTGGTAGTCATCTGGATGCTCTTTGAGGCACATAGTCGGCAGCCATCTTGGTGCTCCTGAAAGTTTAGCACAGTAGTTATTGTGAAACCCTTTGAATTGTGCAAAGGAATTCATCCAAAACCACGAACCACAACATGTCCCTTTAAGCAGTGGAGCAGAAAGAGTTACAAAAAAAAGACACCACATGCATTTTGTAAATTGAATCACAAGCAGTAAATACATAGTTTGGCAATGAAGAGGTTTATATATTTCCATCTTTGTTGGTATAGAACTCTTTTGTCACCATAAGTAGCACAAAATGAACTTCTCTGCTGAAAAAAATCAACGATTTCTGATAAACTGTACAAAATGATAGTTAACAAGTATCAGGCGACGTGATGTAACTGTGTAATGGGAGTGTAATGGTAATTGGGCGCAAAGGACAAAATACAAACTTTCAAATTGCAGACAATGTAGCATGGAATACTGGAGTCTAAGTTATTATCAAAATTTGACCAAATGCATCATAGCTCCCACTCTGTGCCCAGCAGAAAAGGTTCTGCAACTCTTTACAAGTGTATCTGATTATGTTCCTCTTTGTTGCTCAATGTTTTCAAAAAGAATTCTATTAAATCGAACACTAGGGAAGTCCTTTTCATTTCGATTTCAGAAACCACAAAGATTATGGCATGTCCTGAAAACACGTCCTGAAGACTTAAAAGTCAACTCAGCACTGATTTCAGAGATTGGATATATTTATTATGAGAATAGTGTTTTTTCAACGTCTCAATAGATATTGGTCTTCAAAGAGAAAAACCATTCAAACGGCACTGTAATGTCTAGAAATGAAAAGGACAAACATGCTTGCTTGTATTATGTTCTCTGGCCATTATTAACGGTGCTCAGTTACTTAGCTTTAAAAATGTATGTTTATCTGTGAATAGATGCAGTTTGATAAAAGAATGAGAGACATCGATTTATCTACCTGCTGCCATGTGTGAAGACATGAAACATCTGTTGTTGGGAGCAGCTGATGGTAGACATTAGGAAGCTCTGATGTGCTGCACAGTGGGAGCTAGGCAGGGATTTGTATGCATTCTCTCTTTCACTGACACTTTTAGAGCTTTAGTTAAAGTTCTTTACATAGACATAGAAACATAGAAACATAGAATGTGACGGCAGATAAGAACCATTCGGCCCATCCAGTCTGCCCAATTTTCTAAATACTATCATTAGTCCCTAGTCTTATCTTATAGTTAGGATAGCCTTATGCCTATCCCACGCATGCTTAAACTCCTTTACTGTGTTAACCTCTACCACTTCAGCTGGAAGGCTATTCCATGCATCCACTACCCTCTCAGTAAAGTAATACTTGATATTATTTTTAAACCTTTGTCCCTCTAATTTAAGACTATGTCCTCTTGTTGTGGTAGTTTTTCTTCTTTTAAATATAGTCTCCTCCTTTACTGTGTTGATTCCCTTTATATATTTAAATGTTTCTATCATATCCCCCCTGTCTCGTCTTTCCTCCAAGCTATACATGTTAAGATCCTTTAACCTTTCCTGGTAAGTTTTATCCCGCAATCCATGAACCAGTTTAGTAGCCCTTCTCTGAACCCTCTCTAAGGTATCAATATCCTTCTGAAGATACGGTCTCCAGTACTGTGTACAATACTCCAAGTGAGGTCTCACCAGTGTTCTGTACAATGGCATGAGCACTTCCCTCTTTCTACTGCTAATACCTCTCCCTATACAACCAAGCATTCTGCTAGCATTTCCTGCTGCTCTATTACATTGTCTGCCTACCTTTAAGTCATCAGAAATAATCACCCCTAAATCCCTTTCCTCATATGTTGAGGTTAGGACTCTATCAAATATTCTGTACTCTGCCCTTGGGTTTTTACGTCCAAGATGCATTATCTTGCACTTATCCACATTAAATGTCAGTTGCCACAATTCTGACCATTTTTCTAGTTTACCTAAATCATTTGCCATTTGGCTTATCCCTCCTGGAACATCAACCCTGTTACATATCTTAGTATCATCAGCAAAAAGACATACCTTACCATCAAGACCTTCTGCAATATCACTAATAAAAATATTAAAGAGAATGGGTCCAAGTACAGATCCCTGAGGTACCCCACTGGTGACAAGTGCAAGCTTCGAATATATTCCATTAACTACAACCCTCTGTTGCCTGTCACTCAGCCACTGCCTTACCCATTCAACAATATTGGAATCCAAACTTAAAGATTGCAGTTTATTGATAAGCCTTCTATGTGCAACAGTGTCAAAAGCCTTACTGAAATCTAGGTAAGCAATGTCTACTGCACAACCCTGATCTATAATTTTAGTTACCCAATCAAAAAAATCAATAAGATTAGTTTGGCATGATCTCCCTGAAGTAAACCCATGTTGTCTCTGATCTTGAAATCCATGTGTTTTTAGATGTTCATCAATCCTATCCTTTAACATGGTTTCCATCACTTTCCCCACTACTGAAGTAAGGCTTACTGGCCTATAGTTGCCCGACTCCTCCCTATTACCTTTCTTGTAAATGGGCACAACATTCGCTAACTTCCAATCTTCTGGGACTACTCCTGTTAACAATGATTGCTTAAATAAATCTGTTAATGGTTTTGCTAGTACACCACTAAGCTCTTTTAATAGCTTTGGGTGTATTCCATCAGGTCCCATTGACTTATTTGTCTTTACTTTTGACAGTTGAAATAGAACCTCTTCCTCTGTAAACTCACGTGTAAAAAATGACTCATTTATCCTTTTTCTCAACTGAGGTCCCTTTCCTTCATTTTCATCTGTAAATACAGAACAAAAATATTCATTGAGGCAGTCAGCTACACCTTTATCCTCTTCTACATACCTTCCTTCTTTTGTTTTTAATCTAACTAATCCTTGTTTTACTTTTCTTTTCTCATTTATGTATCTAAAAAATGTTTTATCCCCTTTTTTACTGACTGTGCTATTTTCTCTTCTGTGTGTGATTTGGAAGCTCTTATAACTTGCTTAGCCTCTTTCTGCCTAATCTTATAGATCATTTTGTCTTCCTCACTCTGGGTTTTTTTATAATTCCTAAATGCTAACTTTTTGTTTTTAACTATTTTGGCCACATCTGCGGAGTACCACAGTGGTTTCTTGAATTTTTTGCTTTTACTGACAAGCCTAATGCAATTTTCTGTTGCCTTCAATAGTGCAACTTTTAAATAATCCCATTTCTCTTGGACTCCATTTAAATTGCTCCAGTCTGATAATGACTCCTCTACCCATATTCTAATTTTAGAAAAGTCTGTTTTTCTAAAGTCTAAAACTTTTGTTTTTGTGTGGTGTGACTCAGTCACTGTTCTTATATTAAACCACACTGACTGGATGATGATCACTGGATCCTAAACTTTCACCTACAGTAATATCTGTATACAGTATATACCAAATCTCCATTTGTTAACACTAAATCTAGTATGGCCTCTTTACGAGTTGGCTCCTCAACAACTTGTTTTAGAGACAATCCCAGTAATGAGTTTACAGCATCGGTAATAGCAAAGGAGAGACTGTTGCCTAGTTTCTGTAAGGTACACCAGGAGAGTAGGTTTCATGGATTCTAACTGTAAACATCAGTACTTTGTAACCACCTTGGGTAACACTATCTCAGCCTTAAACGGTTACTCTAACCAATATGACTACTTCCACTTTTAGAAGTGGTCATGGCGGCAGGAATCCTTATGTACAGCAATTATGCTGGAATCCCACTTAGAGATATATTCACTTTTGTCCTGGGAGCCAATTGTACCTCCAGCTGACCTTGGCAGCCTGGAACTCTGGAAATCTCCATCTCTCCTCTTACTGGGACAGAGTATGCTCATGTGATTTGAGCCGGTTAAATGGTCCAATCAAAGGTTTCTTGGTATGAGAGGTAGAACTTAGTTAGAGGTAGAAGAATGTATGAGAAGTCTTTAAACGGAGCTTGCGAGGCTGCCGTGACAACAGATGGGTTGTGGAAAGCTGCACTGGTAGTTTCATATGGTGCTGGACTTCAGGTAAGTTGCAGCTTAGTTTTTTATATTTTAAGGTTGGGGGGCTAATGCAAAATACCCAATAGTGCCTTATTAATTAAAAACAAGAAGCATAAAAAAAGGTTGGAGTAAACCTTTAAAGCTCTCTGATCCTATAGGACAGTGGTGTGTCAAACTCATTGACGTTAAGGCTGTGATAGGTTGAATTCAGTCCTTAAAATGTTTTTAATGTGTGTCATAATTAATATCAATCAAGTAATGTCAATATGGCTGAACATATCCCTCCAGTAAGGCTTCAAGCAAACGCAATAGTTACAGGCTGCTGTTAAAATTAGAAGTGTAGGTGTGCACTGTATCACCATATCTCTCATTGAAATGTGCCTCGGTCCAATTAAATGTTGGGAACCGATGCCAAAGGGCATGAGATGGCATATTAAAGCGAGTTGTGAAGGTTCAGGAGAATTTCTCATTTGTTGTTTGAATATTGCAAAATAAGGCAAGAGCATTTTCTCAGTTTCAAGGAAATGTGCACTAAATGCTTAGGTCAGAGTATGCTTCTCATAATGCAGTATGATACATGTTAAACATGTTTAGATCATATATTTACCTGTATCATCTCTTGGGATTAGCTTGCTATCCAACCAATATTGCTTCTATGTTTCTATGTTTCTATGTTTCTATTGCTAGCAGATGTGTAACGAGGCTTGGCTTGTGTGTGCTTGTGTATGTTTAGTGGGAGGCTTCTCTTCACATCTTTACTTATTCTTTTTTTTTTTTAAAAGGCCCCATTCTTGCATACATTTTGGCATGGGATTAGGTATGGTTCCTGGTGGTCCAGTGGAGGCAGTGGCCTAACTAGAGCTTTTGACGATGGGGGCTGCCCCTATCTTGACGCATTTCATGTCCGGTGCAGTCGCGGACGTCCATGGCTTAACCAGACATACCTCTTTTAAGTACTCAATTCCAACCTTTTCAAGTTTTTTAAGATATACACCCAATAAATACATGCATGAAAAATTTATGGGGGGTGGGTTTGCCCATTTGGGCAGAGTGTTCCTTGAAATAATTATTGTTACTGAAGAGCTTCAGTATATTTAACTTTTTATTGGTGTAAAAAGAAACACAGCTTATTGAATTACATTTTTTACACATTTAAAAAAAAGATACTTTTATTTTTTGGGAGGAAGGCTGTGTGTGGAGGGTGCAGGGACGGAGTGGGATCTGTAGAGGGGAGGGAGGGGGATCTGTGCAGGGGAGAGAGGGAGAGAGGTGATCTGTGTACGGAGGGGGGCTGTCAGGGAGGTGGGGGATCTATGTAAGGGAGGGAGAGGGGGGTACAGAGAGGGGGGCTGTTGGGGAGGCAGGGGAGGGAGGGGGAATCTGTGCAGGGGAGGCTGGGGTAGAGGGGATCTGTGCAGGGGAGGCAGGGGGAGAGGGGATCTGTGTAGGGGAGGCAGGGGGAGAGGGGATCTGTGCAGGGATGGGGCTGCTGGGAGGCAATGGAATCTTTGCAGGGGAGAGAGAAGAGGGTATCTGTGCAGGGGAGAGAGGATCTGTGCAGGGGAAAGAGGGGAGAATGTAAGGGAGGCAGGGGGAGAGGGAATCTGTGCAGTGAGGAGAGGAGCTGTGCAGTGAAGAACTTACCTCATGTTTCTGCCGGGCTGCTCTTCCTCGTTACCCAGCCTCTTCCACTCTCTCTCTGCATCACATGGAGACCTGGCAAGCAGAGCAGGATCGCTGCCAGGTCTCCCCCAGAAGGTGGGAGCAGTAACCTTGCACAGCTCCCCTTGCTACCCCACTAAGTGGAGGGCACTCTGGGATGGATGCCTAGTGATAGAGCATGTGGTATGCACGTCTGTTGGGTGCAGATTAATTTAAGAGCTGTGTTGCAATCCTGGTGCACAGAGTCATTGGAGATATCTTGGGACTACATGGATGTGATTTGCACCCAACATAGGTGTAGGCCACACACTCCCTTAATGTAGTGAGGGGGTGCAGGACTGGCAAAGAGATCTTTTGGTCTCCATGATGGATCAGGCAGAGCACCCCCACCCCAAAAAAACCCTCCTTAAGCTGCCTAATGGCATAATGTGCCTAATATCATGCCAGTCTGTTTAATGAGGACATGTGGAAAATGTAAGTGAGGAAGGCAGTATCTTTTGAAAAGTTAATGTGTCTGTGGAAACCATCATATACATCTCTGATGTAACTATGATGATTTATTGACTATTCAGGAGCTGTAGGAACTATAAGGACTATAATTACATTTCCAAAATCAATGTCTAGCTGTCTAGCTGTCTAGCTGTCTAGCTGTGGCAGTGGTTGTTAAAAGCATTCTCTACAGTAAATTATGGTCTGGTTTTATATTTATAGCTTTTAATTTTTTTGGAGACTTACTGATATTTTCAGCAACATTTCATTTTGATAGATTTGTCTATTAAATATGAATCCTTACAAAGTTCTGTTTTCATTGTGCAGGAAACGTATGGTGGTTTGAAAGTGTTGAGGTCATATGGACATTTAAATTATGTGTACTGGAACTGGAACTTTAAATGGAGGTCACCTTTACACCTTTCGCTCAAGGTATATGTCCCTTTATGTTCCGTGATGTGGCCTTTGCCTATCTACAGCTGTTGGCGAAAACCCAGAGGAAACGTTACATTTACTCCTTAACAATGATCAATGTTAAAGGGACACTATAGTCACCCAGACCACTTCAGCTCAATGAAGTGGTCTGGGTGCCAGGTCCCCCAGTTCCGAGAAACTGCTATGTTTACATTGCAGGGTTAATCCAACCTCTAGCCATTGTCTTCCTGACAGTCACTAGAGGCGCTTCTGCGACGCTGGATGCGAAAATCGCATTCAGCGTGCAGAACGTCCATAGGAAAACATTGAGAAATGCTTTCCTATGGAATGTTTGCATGCGCGCGCGGCTCATGCCACGCATGCGCATTCCGCTCCACTCCGGAGCTGACGTCGGCGGGGGAGGAGAGGTCACCAGCGCCGAGGGAGAAGGTTAAGTGGCTGAAGGGGTTTCAACCCCTTCAGCCCAGCGGGAGGGGGACCCTGAGGGTGTGGGGGACCTAAGGGTTATATAGTGTCAGGAAAAGAAGTTTGTTTTCCTGACACTATAGTGATCCTTTAAGATTGCCCTGACAGCACCAAATTTATATTTCTTAAATGATCTGATAACTCCATAACTTTAGGATGAACTAATCATCATTATGAAATATTCCAGTCTAGGAGAAAATGGTTTCTGATTTCTATGGCTGGTAGTTACATTAATATTCATTGTGTCAAAATGTATAAATATAGTACTCCGTTTTGGGAGACTAAAGACTTGGGCGCTGCAAAAATGTTTTGCTTCATCTGAACTTAATTTAGTTAATTTGATCATTTATTTTTAGATAAAATTCAGCCATTATTTTCGTGTCACAATTTCATTTGGACAAATGAAATTCCAATCTGTGCTCGGGCTGCATCTTGCAACTGTTTAGCCATTTAGCAGATAACTTATTAAATTGGTACCCTTGTTCGATTGCATTATATAGGGACCAAATTATGGAGCTGCCTCGTTGATAACGCCTTTATTTGGTTTCCTTATGGCAATTCCACAAGAATTAGTTCTTTTTTCAAAATGTTATCACCAGCACCATTCTTTTATTACGTTCATTTCTGTGCTTATAATTATGATTGCAATATGATTAAATACAATTATTTTAATAGGTAGGCAATTTCTTTATTCCGGTGTAATTTCTTTATTCTGGTATAATCCCAATTATGGGGATTATAGGGAGTTCACTTCTATAATTGTTGGGATATGCCCTATTATTGCCCCTTCAACCAATGGCTTGACATCATTTGTTGATGCCAAGCTTCTTGTACATTTATCCTTATGACCATATTTGCACATTTATATATTTATATAGGCATATAGTTTTACAACCTGGCTCGAAGGATCGAAGGATTTTAAAGAAAGTCTTTTAGACAATGAATTTTAGTGCCCAAACAGCTCTGATTATGTGGTTCCAGGGAGGTTTAGTGAATTTGGGCCGTGTGATACACAGTCTATTAGTGTTAAACATTATGGATAACGTAAGCTGGTACAGAGGTTATCCCAATTTAGTAGGTGGGAGGAAACAATTAAGTTCTTCGGCTGACAATTTACCATGTATATTATAGAGCAAAAAGAAACAGCTTGGGTCAGATTTAAATTTTTAAAATGGACAAAGAGAACAATTTTAACAGGTTTGGTCTGGTTTTTATAATGATCGACTGCGAGCATGAGTGGGTGTCCGTAATAACTCTAAATGATTGCCTTTGGAAAAATTACATTTTTTTTTTTGTCAAAGTTGCAGGTTAATGACCAACACTGACTTATTTCAGAGGTTCTATTTTAAATTAATAATATAGTAATTGGGATTTCAAGACTTTAATTGGCACTTCAAAAGTAGTCCGCTAGTTTTGCTCTAAATATATTTCACATAGCAAGAAAACGAAGAGCCCATAAAGCACTGATAGAATAGGTAAAAAGAAAATATTTGTATTTTCTATAAAAATGTCAATACTTTAATGACCTGGTGATTGCTTTACGGAGCTGACTAACAGCAATAATGCTCAGTTATAATTACTTTGTTTATAACCAAAGTTGCTAGGCACTTGGGGCCAAACTATGAAATGGCACCCCCCTCACCTCCCCAACTTTCATTGTTTTGCATGTTTTTCTGCAGTACATATCACCCATATGCATTTTTGGACCTTCCTTGTATGTCTTTCCTAATTCTCTTATCTGGTTGTGTGTTGTGTGCTTAAAGTGACACTGTAGGCAGTTGAAGTAGCTGCAGAGTCTGGAGTCCCCCCATTCAGTGTTAAACCATTTTTTTAAGTTTTAATGCTATACAAGAGTTCAAAGCAGCTCATCCCTTCTGTGTTTTTTTTTTAGGTTAATGAGAAAGTGTTAGCCTGAGCAGCAATATTTAACTGTGATTGGCTGGGAGAGTCAGCTTTCAGCCTACTGCAGCGCCCATTCAGGTAAGGCTAGAAGGAACAAAATAGGGATAAATCTACAATACAATGATAACAGAAAAAAACATAGCATAATACTGTTAAATGTAAAAGGAGAGTGGAAATATAGATGATAATTCACACTCACAAACCAAAATTGATTGTAGGCATATCTTATAGAACGATGAATATCTCAGGATAAGTGGAACGTCAAGATGTACATAGAAGGAAATAAAACAGCATAATAGTGCAGAGTATCTTGGTGAAAAAATACACTTTAATAATAAGGCACACTTACAATATTGTAGTGGCAAACAGGCATATAAAAACCACCGGTCTTAGGATCATAAGATGAATCACAGGATCAGCAGGATCAAATATAACCAGCAGGTCAAAATAAAATAAAATAAAACAACCTGATAAGATAATTAAAAAAAACTCTAAACACTATAAATGCTGAGAATAAGCCCTACGCGTTTCGTTCAAACGTCCTTGAACTTCCTCAGGGGCAAAAAGTCCTTCTGTATGTAGGTATAACTGTCCACATGGTATACCTGGCTTTTAAATCTGTCCGGTTTGGCGCGCCGAAAGACTCCTCCAATTGTCCACTTACTTCCGGGTTCGTCTGTCTGTAGTACTTCCGGATGCGACCTATTGACGCAACCGGAAATGCGGCTCACGTCTCTCTTCCGGATCTCTATCTATGCGTTCCACCTGATATGCGTTCCACCTGATATGCGTTCCACCGCTCGGAGAGTGGAGAACAGCCACAATTAATGAGAAAGAAATTTAAGAACATGTATATATATATGTAATGTTAATTATATTCATAATAATAATCTCAGAAAACGACAATATTATCCAGATCATATAAATCCTTGCCAATATTCTTCTTTTAATAAAAAGTATAGAATATGGCATAACAGATTATTATTTCATTCCCAAAAAATGTGTCAAATTAATTAAGCAACATTACTAGAAACATATCGTCCTTGTCATCTGGCGTGGTCCTTTAGAAGAATTAAAGGATTTTTTCTCTTATGTTAATAACAACTCCCTGTCCCTGACTTTCACCCCTAAGATAGGGATCTCTAATATAGATTTTTTAGATCTGTCTATCTTTATTGAAAATGGAATTATGAAGACTAAGACCTTCTTTAAAAATACTGATATCAACAGTTTTATTGATATCAGAAGTGGGCATCATCCTAACTGGCTAAAGGGGGTTCCCAAAAGCCAGTTTATTAGGATGCGCAGAAATTGCAGTGATTTAGATTCATTTTATACACAAGCTGAAGTTTTAAAAGGTCGTTTTCTGGAGAAAGGTTACAATCCAGAACTTTTGGATGCAGAGATCGATAGGGTGGGAAGTATCAACCGTAACGATCTCCTTATTGATAAGAGAAAGGACACTTTTAGGAACCCTGTATTTGACTTTTCCTTTAACACGCAATATAGTTCTAAGGCCTTTGATATACAGAGGATCATTAAAAAACATTGTGGGTTATTAATAGAGGATGAATATCTTAACCAACAGATTCCTCTTTTACCCAAAGTTATTTTTAGGAGAGGAGTCAATTTAAAGCAAATTTTAGCACCAAGTACTTTTAGATCTAGAAAGAGCAAAATAAAACGTAAAGAAGGTTACTACACATGCGGGAGTTGTGTTAGTTGTAACTACAAATACAACAGTATTACGAGCTTTGTGAGTACGGTTAATGGAAGAAGATTTAAAATCAAAAGCACTTTATCCTGTTCTTCAACACATGTCGTATACCTACTCACATGCGGATGTGGGTTGCAATATGTGGGAAGAACGGGAAGAAAAGCAAAAGTTAGGTTCCAGGAGCATAGAAATAATATTAAAAATCATATGTTGACACATTCAGTGCCAGTACACTGTAATAAATGTCCAGCCTTTAATTTCAATACCCTCCAATGTACCATCATTGAACAAGTAGCCTTGGATGAAAGAGGAGGCGATCTAATGTTACTATTGAGAAAAAGAGAGGGATATTGGATACACACTCTACAAACAATGCAACCTAGGGGACTTAACGTCGATTTTGATTTGGTTTGCTTTCTCTAAATTGACAATTTTGCACTTGTACATTTTTTTTTCTTGTATATAGCTTTAATATTGACAAACATATGTTTCTAGTAATGTTGCTTAATTAATTTGACGCATTTTTTGGGAATGAAATAATAATCTGTTATGCCATATTCTATACTTTTTATTAAAAGAAGAATATTGGCAAGGATTTATATGATCTGGATAATATTGTCGTTTTCTGAGATTATTATTATGAATATAATGAACATTACATATATATATACATGTTCTTAAATTTCTTTCTCATTAATTGTGGCTGTTCTCCACTCTCCGAGCGGTGGAACGCATATCAGGTGGAACGCATATCAGGTGGAACGCATAGATAGAGATCCGGAAGAGAGACGTGAGCCGCATTTCCGGTTGCGTCAATAGGTCGCATCCGGAAGTACTACAGACAGACGAACCCGGAAGTAAGTGGACAATTGGAGGAGTCTTTCGGCGCGCCAAACCGGACAGATTTAAAAGCCAGGTATACCATGTGGACAGTTATACCTGCATACAGAAGGACTTTTTGCCCCTGAGGAAGTTCAAGGACGTTTGAACGAAACGCGTAGGGCTTATTCTCAGTATTTATTGTGTTTAGAGTTTTTTTTAATTATCTTATCAGGTTGTTTTATTTTATTTTATTTTGACCTGCTGGTTATACTTGATCCTGCTGATCCTGTGATTCATCTTATGATCCTAAGACCGGTGGTTCTTATATGCCTGTTTGCCACTACAATATTGTAAGTGTGCCTTATTATTAAAGTGTATTTTTTCACCAAGATACTCTGCACTATTATGCTGTTTTATTTCCTTCTATGTACATCTTGACGTTCCACTTATCCTGAGATATTCATCGTTCTATAAGATATGCCTACAATCAATTTTGGTTTGTGAGTGTGAATTATCATCTATATTTCCACTCTCCTTTTACAATTAACAGTATTATGCTATGTTTTTTTCTGTTATCATTGTATTGTAGATTTATCCCTATTTTGTTCATATTTATTGAGGACCTGGAGGAGTCCTTATCTGCAATACATTTAGTTCAAGGGTAATTATTTAGTTTTCTAATTATTACCCACTACAAGTGTGTTCTATCCACAAGTGGGTGAATCTGTACTTTTTCTATAAGGCTAGAAGGAAGTCTGTAATCTCTGCTTAGCCACACCTCCATTGAGGGCTGGGCTATAGGAAGTCAGGGCCCCTAATTCAGTATTAAACTGCTCAAAAATGGTATACACACTTGTGATTCTGTTAAACAAACCCTGTCAGAATCTGAACCTATTCATAGACAACAGCACTTTTTATCTCATAATATTGAATAGAATAATCTATTTTATACAATTATTTATATTTATGCAAAGTACCATGTACTCTTTCAAATTTGTCCCATATATATGAAGTAATGTCATATGCTGCTTCAAACTGAATCCATATTTATTTTAAAAAATGACGTCCTACTTCTGAATTGAATGACAAAATAAATACTGCTTCATATCCACTACATACGGCTTCAAATTTGCTCCATATTTATATACCACTTTAAAATGAATCTATATTTATCACAAAAACCTGAATTCCATGATTTCTTTTTTTTTCTAAATAGGTTTTGACTTTGGACTGTAATGCACTAGCTAACTAATATGTACTATAAAACTTAGCCGCATGTTCTGCTTTTATTTTTCTAAAAGTTTATTAATTCACATGGTATACCTAGCTAAGTGGCACAGACAAGGCATGCTATGTAAATTAGACTAACCATCACATTACCATAAAGGTGAGTGCAAATTCTCATATGGCATTACTAGGTAGAAATATGGAGTGACGTCTCCCTAAGATGGTAGTGTTTTTGCTCACTTCCACAGCACTATTTACCCACTAAATACATAATTTACTTAGCATTTACTTGGATTGGCAGAACATGGAACTGTTATTCACATCCAATTTTGGGACATATTGAACTTTTTATAGCTCATCTTTTTTTTATTTGTTTTTTTTTTCTACCAGTTTTCCTCAAGGCACATCATTTGTAAGTCATCATACAATACGGTTCCAGCTATCACTACCCCTCTAATTGCTTAAAAACCATGAATATCCTGAAACCTCTTGCATTCTAGTCAGGTGATACAATTAATTCTGTTCATTCTGGACACACATTATTTTGAGCACATCATGTAGAGTTTTCACTGGCAAGTTCATGTCCCTTGTGCTAAAACATCTATAAACATTCCAAAATAAAAAACAAATAATATAAGTATAAGAAAGAAGAATATGGTTATCCCATGAACTAAAGTAAAATGTAATGCAAGAATCATATCAAGAAGTAATACGCAGGAGAATATTTTGATTTCTGACAGTCTTTCATCATTCCGAGGTCATTAACATGAACACCATGAAAATAGTTAATGGTAACAGCTTTTTATAAGTGTCAGAGTTGTCGGAGTCTTACCTGCTCCTTCCAGAATTCTCCCTGATGCTTCACACTCTCTAAGTATATCCTTTTATTCACTCCTGCATTCGCATCCGAATGGACTCTGATGACGTCATGGATTGGGCTGACATGGTTGTTTACTGTCCATAAGTAATTTGGAACCCCTCAAATGACTTTCTCCAATAGGAAACAATCCCTTCCTATGTACACTCATCTGTCCCAGTCATAATTGTCTGTTGTAGTTTTTGTTAGCACAATATCACTTTATTGTATTTTTCTGCTAAATTGGTATTTCACTCGGCTTATTTATCGTGTATCCTGAACTCTGTACTCCTTGACTTGGCTTGTATTCAATATCTCCTGTCTTCTCCTGTCTTTGACCTCCACTTAATCTCCGTCAGGATGACCAATCTAAGGATGGGTACACAAATAATTTCTCACTTGTTGTGTTCTGAGATTTTACTCGGTTAAACTCAACAGTGTGTGATTAGTATGTTGAGTTTTAGAAAAAAAAGGCTATATAAAATTATAGAAATATGAGTGTTATAATTGTAGCCTATGTACTAAAGTAAGAAAACGCTACAAACTTTCTGACATATACACATAGAAACATAGAGACGAGTGGTTTCACTAACAACTCTCGAAATTCAATTGTATTTATGACTTTTAAACAGATGTTTGGAAGCATCCACCTTGAAAAAAAAAAGGTATCCTTCTGTGCCTTCTATTACCCAAGCATGGTGGTCAACTAGTTGGTGGTGGTGAGTAACCTTATGGAAGTTAATACGTGTTCCCACGGGTTTATCTCTTAAGCTCTAAAATCAATAAATGTTAATGTTTGAGACAAAGGTTGGACAAGAGTTTAGTTACTAAGCTTCAAGAGTTTGATTCAGTGAGTTGCTGTAAACTAACAATCAAATTTAAATCGTATTCCGGAATTTATAGCCAATAAGACTATTAAATAACCCTTTGTATTTATAGAGGAACTCTCACTTCCCAGGATTTTTACTATGTTGTTTAAATATCCCTATATTTAACAGAAGTGTATTTGTGATTTGTGAAATATAAAGTTAAATATAGAAATCACCTTCTCTGTACCCTGCAACTGGGTGCCTCCATCTCAGCTTCCTGACAGTTACTGTTATAAACTCTTTATTGTGCCCAAGGTTTGCTCCTTAATAACAATGTTTGCTACGTTTGAACTGGATTATGATAACATTAATCTTTAATATATATTGTTTAAATGAAGCAAAACAATACCAGACACCTAACGATATATATACTCGCCTACCTCGAATCCTCATAGATTGGGAGTTTGCATAAGCATGGCCTTCAACACTAGTCAAATATCCCATTTCTGTAGTTGTTACGAGCGTTGCAGAATATCCTGGCGCTATTTAAATAATACTACTAACTACCATTGACTAAATTATATGACGGCAAATCTAGCAATTTTCCTGGTTATTTCAAGAATCATTAGAAATCTGACATAAACTATAGAAAGCACACAATATCATATAAGTAATACCATTTAATGAGCAAGCCAGTCACAAATGTTTTTTATTCTTCTTTACTCCACATCCCTGGTTTTTGTCAGTCACTTCCTATATGTGTCTTCTTGGTCAGAATTCAATTGGTATTATAGGCAGCATTTCCACACGTACAAATTGTAAGTTATTTGCTTGTCTAAATACCTGTACTAAATATCAATGTATGACTGCTATATATGTATTGTATACTGATGCGTATTATGTCACCAATATGTAATGGCTTTCATTCTGTCCAATGGGAATGCAAACATTTTCTTTTTTGCATTCCCAATGGGGAATCACTGTACATACAAGGATGCGACACAATGTATCTTCGTATATGCAATGCTTATTCACATACGCAGTACTCAATATTCCAAAAGTCTTATTACTGACAGTAATTAGACAGTGCTAAGAATCCATCAATTCAGCCAAACTGGACATAAAAAAATAAAGAAATTGGTCCAGCACTTCTCTGATCATGTCAGGTGAGTTTTTTGTTGGCACAATTACCTAATTTCTTGTTATTTTACATCTAACGTACTTGCCGGAGCTCCTAGGATGTGCCTACATTTCTCTGGGAAGCGTCATTGTCAGACTCTAAGCTTGAGAAAACCTCCTTTGAAACAGGAATTCATAGTTGTTTACTGTGCTTTCATTTTTCTCTTTTCTTTACATAAATTTCTTTACATTCAATGAATGCATTATGTATAATAAATCTATGTGCATTATATTCCTTTTTATTAACTGTCACCTAGAGATGTCTTCTAATCATCCATTTATGGGCTGTGAGTAAAATAAATATATTGCATTTATCCAACAAACTATTCATTTCTATTTGCACTGTACAAAAATTGTTTTATTTCCGCATATGATAAATTAACGTGGATCTAGTAAACATGTCATGTTAAAACATATTTTGATTTGGCCGTCCAAAGCATTTAGTTTGTTAATGAAAAACATTGATTGGTTTATGTTTGTGGCATTTGAACAGATTACCAACTAATTATCAAACATCTTTCCAATCTGAACACTTTTTAATGAATTAATACATACTATAAACTTTTTCTTTATGAATGAAAGAGTGCATAGTATAAACTTTTTTCTTTTCTCTCCAAAAATAGCATTTATCTTTCTGCATTTTTAAAATTTATTTTCTTTTATTTTCTAGCAATAAAGAAAGTCTGCCGATGGTCACACAGCACCATACCATTATTACAACACAGTTCTACATGACGTGTTAAGATTTGGCTTATTTATTAAATGTCTGTCTCTTTAATAAAATATTCCCCGTAATCCTAGTGCTTATTTGTGCTTGATGTTGCTCTTCTGTGAAAATCCCTTATTACATTTTCACCTTGGCATATGATGTCTTAGTCTATTAGACAATTCTTAGCAGTTGATTGTTCCCATAAACAGTGTAAAATATTATATAACAATATAATATGGCTTTCAAAGTGCATATATTTAGTGGGTCAAGAATGTCTGGGACTTGCTGTAGATGTGCATTGTTCTGCTCCATACAGAAATCTAGCAAATTTTGTGAGAAGGTAGCATATTTGGTGCCAAAGTTATCACAGTTCTGGAATTACACTTGCTCTTCTGATCTAGAAGGGTCGAGTCTTCTTACTGGGACAACCTGAGTGGCTTTACAACATCCGGAACATATGTATTTAAGAAAACATAAATAAGCACTGCCAGATATGACAACTGTCACAATGATAATCACTGTAGCACCAAACGCTGGAGAGACCGTGTCCTCTAAAATAGAATGAAGTCCTCCATGTGTGGTAAGCGGTGGCATCTCTGTGTTGTTATCATCTACAAAACAGCAAAATGAAACATAATTATTAAGTGTAGCATGACATGTTGCTAACATACGCTGTGTCTGCCGGACAATTTTCACATTTTACAATAGATAGGGCACAACCCAATATTTTTCTGCGAGATGCAACTCTGACGTAGCTCGGTGAGTGAAAAGAAGACCTGAGAAAGGTTTATGGGCGTTGAAGCACAAGAATAGCTACAGTTTAATATTTTACTATTTCTGCGTAAGACATAAACATCTCTTTAAGTCTGGCTTCACTTAGAAACAGGTGGTAATCTGAGATATGAAGATGTTTCTTAATAATTCTTTTGTAGGAAGTGTTTCATACTGCAAGGCTTCTAATTAGATTAGCTTACAATTAATTGTCATGGAATATTTTCCAACTTGATAGGAATAGACAAAAAAGGTCATACGCTTATAATACGTATGTATTTTCCACGCCAATACTCTTTTTCTCAATGCCATTTGTAACTTAGACTATCATTAACAAAGGTCACAATGAATCTTCGCTGTCAAGACAAGGGAGTGTGACTAATTAACTTTTGTTCTTCTTCCGAGGGAAAGTGCTGCTTTATCGCATATCCAGACAGAAAAGCTAATTCTTTCTGTTTTGCACCTCTTGACCTGTGGCCTAACCTTAACCTAGGAAAATATAACAAATTCCCAGCCCTCCTCCCTTGCCCTCGCAGGTGGAGTCTGTAAGAATCGGATGGGATGTCAGCGCTCAACAAAGTGCTACTTGTCTTTGGTTGTTTCCATGTCTCAATTTATTGTGACCTCCCTATATTTACCCTCTGATTATTTCCCAAAAGAATGTAATTGGTTTTGCCATTCTCAGTTTGATTCAGTAATTTGACCTTGGAAACAATGGTCTGACATTGGGGACGTTTGACAAGATGATCTCCTACTAAGACATGGAAAATATATATCAACCATTAGATTTCTTCATGACTAAAATCTAGTTTTATAGTGATTGTTGTCTCAGTTTGTAGAGACATTTATCAATCAACAGGCAATTATTCAGGAAAGTTGTGATTTATTATTGCTAATAAGCTATTGCTTATATGGCTGAAAAGCATTAGTGCTATGATTGATGACAGCCATTCATGGCCAAACCGGATCATGGTCAAATACTCTGTTCAGAGAATGTTTTAGAATCTGTCTCTGAGTGGAAAAATTTACCACATTTTAAGACAATATATTAAATTAAAAAAATAATAATAATGCAAACAGATGAATGTCTTCATCACCCTTTAGTGTATTTTGCACCACCTCTTGTGTCTCTGTCCCCATTTGTACCTCTTGCACTCCCTTGTGTAAATTACTTTCTTTGTGTCTCTTGCACCCTCATTTCAATCACCCCTTTGTGTTTCTTGCACCCCTCATGTATTTTGCATTCTCATATCTCTTGTGGCACTTGTACCCCACATTACTTGTTTCCCAGCAAGCAGCTTGCTGCTAGGCTAGGTGGAGGATAAAGACAATGTCCTATAGTGGTCCATGACAGTGCACACTACTAGGAATGGTGGGAGGAGGTGCTCTGTCAACCCAACTCCCGCTGGTCATCCGAATATTGCACCAGTTGACCTTCAGAATATAAGATTCAGGTAGTTTGGGGCTAAAAAAAAGTGTCCTATATATAACAAAAATTTTATTTTCTCCCTCCAATGTTATGTATTTCATTTATTTAAATGTCTATCTTATTGGCTCCACCTTGTTGCAACTCGTTTCTATCTCATTCCATCTCAGTCTACTCATAACTTTAAATGTTGCCTCTTGTTTCTCCAATTGATGCCATATGCTTTATTTTTTTGTTTTTTCCTTGTCCACTAGATGTTTTACAATACATAAACCAATAATTCCTTGGCTAGTGTTCTAATTAGGTCTGTGCTAGGCACCAAACTAAATATAATACAAGATACACTTTATTTTTTATTTTATTTTAATAATTCTTTATTTTTGTTCAAATTAAAACACTTAAGCTAGTGATGTCATGACAGCAGGCACAGGCTTAGTAATAACAGACATTGTAACATGAACATGGCATATATAGGAACTGCACACTTTTTAGTAATAGTAAAATCGGAATTAATAAAATTTAAGTAAATAATGAAAACAAACATAAGCATTAATCATGTGGTCACTGGGAAAGAGAGTATGTGAGCCACAGTTTAGGACCTAAAATGAAGGCTATGGATTACATGTAGGGAGGTCAGTCAGCTTATGCCTGATTCGGGCATCAATGACAAATACTTCCTGTGTCCATGAACAACTTGTTGCTGCCCCTCCAAGATTCTCCTCATGGCCCATGTGAGCTCAGGGATGATCTTGGCTGTTTATTGAGCCCAAGAGCTACCAGAGCTGCAGACCCGCCAATTAGTGGCATCCTCCCGCATGCAGGACCAGAGGGGAGCCAGTCTCCCACCTCAAAGGTTCTTCGCTCTCTGTTTGGGATGGACATGGGTCCCAAGACACTCTGGTGGCTTGATATTCTTTCGGCATCCCGGGCGGCAAGATGGATGTGCCTCTATAGAGACACCAGGCCGAGAACCGGGTTGGTGAACCGCTGATTCAGTCACATTCTCCTGTGTAGCAGGAAAAGCATGGAGGGGAGGTGTGTGTTCTATGCGCCGCCAGAACGCCTCGCAGATCTGGTCAAACCGAGACTCATAGCACTGTCTCCATGATGGGATTGCCAGGTCCTCCTGAAACTGTGGAAGTTGTGGCTTGGCAGTCATTTTAAGCTCGTTGTGTGCTCTTCGTTCCCGAATAAGATTAATCTGTTGCAGGTAAGTAAGTTTCCCCAGTGGGGACCGGTATGACCCCCAACGATCCAAAGGGGTCTCACAAGTGTTGCTGCTCAGAGCAGTCCTCAAGACAGGAAACTGGCCACCTCTCCTGGACCACAAGGCCACCTTCCATACTAGGTCCCATATGGAATGTAGAATGTTGTATATCTCTATGAGGAAAGCCTGAACCGGTGTCCAAGGGCCCCCACTCAATTCCTCAATGAGCCACAGTCGTGTCGAGCATCAGAATTCACGATTAGGCCATTAAAAGACTCAATAAAGCTTAGTTTTGCCAGAGCTCTCAGTAAGCAAGTCTGCCCAGCTTGGCTATCAGGTTCTGCCCCCTAAAACACACTTTACAGAAGGTGATAGTGTTTAACTATTCCAGTAGTTATTAGCTGTAGAGCCTACTGGAGGTACAATTTAAAGCCTCTTATAGTTTTTTTTTTCCAGTCTTACAAACCTTATACCTTATGTTACTGAGGTATTAATAATCATTGATATATGTGATTCACGGTAAAATAATCCCTCCCGGTTCTCTCTGCTCTGTAATCTGCAATAATAATTAGGACACCAGGACAGAGTACCCTAATGCTACCCAATAATTGTTAGCATGAACTGAGAAGGAAAACAATGAAAGATAAGCCAGAAAAAGAACAGATCTCTTTACTGTCTCCCTCTCAACCTGTCACGTATTCATCCGCTTACAAAAATGTGGTTAATGACATTTACTGTCCACACAGGAAAAGTTGTGCCGAGCAACAACCAAATCCACAGAAGGGTTAATGCCGAGCAGCAATTATGCAAATGAGATCTGGTAACTGCCTTTGGGGTCAAAGGCCGGTTACAGCCTATCAGACCTAGAGGAGGGTTATTTAGGCCCAGTTCTCATCCTGCTCAGTGCCCTGTCGTGGTTTCCCTTGTGGTTGTCCGAGAGCGTGTTATTGATTCTGGTTATTCTGGTTATTTGACTTTGGCATTGTTTTTGACTTCCCTGTTTTCTGGCATCCCTGACTCCTGGCTTTTCCTTATCGTTGTGTCTCTTTCTGTTTCCCTGGACCTTGGCTATTCCTGATTATTCTTTGGTACATTAGTCCAGCCATTCTAAGGTCCGGTATACGTTACCTATCAGTTCTCTGTGTTACACAGTTCTACGTGATGGATCATTCTGTAATCCTGACACAACCACCATGAGCAGGAATTCAGAGCTACAAAATTGTGGGTTTTTACATACTGTAGTAACATATTCTTTGACCCCAACTATTTGTTCCCAATAAAACCCATATAGCCAGACATCGGAGAAAGGAGATCTGTAACACAACTGGAAAATTTCTTATGGTCCATTCCCAGCACTGGAGACCGTATCTCCAGAAGGATATTAATACTTTGGAGAGAGTTTAGAGAAGGGCTACCAAACTAGTTCATGGATTGCTGGGTAAAACTTACCAGGAAAGGTTTAATGATCTTAACATAGAAGGTATACAGCAGCTAGTAAATAAGATCTGTCAAGGATTGCACTCCGGACCGGAAATAATAACAAAATCCCCCTTAACACCACCCACACTTAAACATAATAATATAACTATTACTATTTTACCGCTGCCACCACCAAGACAATTTATAATGGGGTGCCTTGGACCCCCAGGTAAATCAATAATAAAAACCTACTGTAACGGACCGTTTTGCACACAAGGGGTAAAAAACATTTAGGCGATCGCCCCCCTTTCCAGAGATGCAGGCACAGCTATTGTAGAACACCAAACACACGAACCGCCAATAAGTGAATGCTCCAAACTCCCGAACGGCATCCAATATAGCACTCCAAACACACGAACAGGAACCATATGAATCGCTGCTAGCAGACGAATAGGAAAAGCATCCAAGCGGCTTACACTCCTAGCAATCAGTCTCTATCAGCATTCAGTAAATCCCCCCAAAGATGAGACAAGGCTCCGTGTTGAGGGTCAAGCAGTGGTCTGTTTAATGAGGGCTACCTGCCCAGTATTTATGCAGGTCTCCCACCTGATGGACACTCCCCTACGGGACCAAATGGGAGACTGTGACAATAGACAGACAAGTTGACAAATAGGACACACAGTCACAGTATATTCCCACAATGCATCCTGGCTTCCTCCCCTCTGCCTTGGAGATAATTGAGAAGTAATTCAGTTATCTCCCAA